GTAAATAAGATCATAATGGTATAATTGATAATTTTTAATAGGAAGAAAAGGGCTAAAGGTTTAGGGGAAGTGGGAAGGGTACAGGAAATGAAACAAGGCAAAAGAAAAAAGTATGAGAAAATGAAAAAAATGGAAATAAAGTTTTTATAAATAGGGAAGGATGAAGGGGGTGAAGGGAGGGCAGAGGTGTGGGGAAAAAATGAGAACCAAGACCTGTCCTATAAAGGTATAAGATCCCAATGATGAATGTAACTATACTGTATGCCTAAAATGTACCAATAAACTAAATGAGGAAAAAGAAAAAAAAAAAAAAAAGAAATCTTACCAGAGTGACTAAGGTAGATACCAAAGATAAGTTACTAATTCATTGTGATCAAGGGTAGACATCCTAAACTTTTCTTAATTCCAGAACAAACTCAGATCAATCCTGGAAACATTTCGGAGTATTGTGCTAAGATCTTAGTCCAGCCTCAGAGCCTGTCCAGCCTGATAGCTGGACCACCTAGCTGTGCCTCAAGGAAATGAACACCAGCTAATTGTTTTCAAATTAACTGCTGCTTGAACAGGGGCACCCAGAGGGATAGTTCAGACTGGAGACTGCAGAATTCTTCCACACAGTTAAGCTCCATGATCAGCACAATGGCTGATGGCCTTTCTGCAGAAAAACTGGCTGCAGCAACAGTAGTGCTTGCAAGGAAGCAGAAAAGGCAGCTGCCAACTCGAAGCTGATTGCCTACCAAAGATGTTTGCTCTCCTCCCTGGAGGTCCCCAGTAGAGTTGGCCTTTTGGATAGCTCACCACCGTGTTGGTTTTCCCCAGATTTCAGAATATGCCACAGGATCAGCCTTCCAAGCAGGATCTCTCATAGTGTAACTTTCATCATAGACTCTTTTCCTCTACCACCATTTCTTTCTTGTGATTTCCTGGAGGAGGGCACTAGACCTAAATTTGCTTAAACTTTTACTACACTTGATCTTAGCCAAAAGGCCGAGAAGCGATTTCCTTAAACTTTTTAAGGTGGGAGATGGTGTGAGTATGAAAGAATATCAGTTCTAGTAGTGAGTGCAGATCCCAGGCCTGTCTTCCTAACTGATAAATTGTCCTTTGTCTTATTTCTCACCATTCCTGTTTTTTCTACTTCTAGTCCAAATATTGATCTGCTCTTGTCCAATTCCTTAAACTGTTGGAGTCCAGCAGATTTAACTGTAAGATGTCTTAGGATATCACCCTTGCCTTGATGAGTGAAGTAGTGTTGCTCTTCCTAGTTTTGAGTGAAACTCCTGAACCAGCTCTGAAGACACCTAATCTATTCAGAAGTATAAAATCAAAGCTACTGTGCTTTTCATCTCTGTTGTCCTCACCCCTTGCAGATAGAGGACATACTGTCACATACTCTCATCCCTGCTCCTTGGAGAAATTTCTACTAAAAGAACCATTCTCCTAGTGCCTCTTCCCTGAAATTATGGTTTGTTCCTGGGCCTTTGGAAACATATTTTCTATAACAAGCAGGCTTTTTGATAGCCTTGGAGTTGTTTTTGAACGCCCCCACTCCTAGCACTTCTTGATCACAAGGGAAGCATGGATTCATGAAGAGAGTCATCCCTCCTTTGCAGCTTCAACTCCCACGTGTTCCAGACTTTGGTGATGGTATGAGCATTTTCCTGTCTCTTCGTGAAACTTTTGGACCTTGAAACTTATAAAGTCCAGCCACTGTCCTTCCTGACTGGTGGGGTAAGATCCATCCCTGATAGGCAGCATGACATCTCTCCTTCTTCATGTCTTCTCTCACGTGCTTGTTCATGATTTTCTTCTGATTGGAATATGTGTCCTTTCTTTCCCTCCTACTAAAATCCAGTTCAGTCATTTCTTTTGCTGCTACTCCAATAACCCTGCCAACAGAGATTTCTTTAAATCTTACAGTGTATTTTCTTTAGCATATTATGTGGTACTGGAGCACATAATCCTGTGTGGTACTTTTATTTTATATCATAAGTTAAATCTTACAAAGCTGTTTAACTTTTCAAGAGTTGTGTGCCTCATATACCCAGTTAGATTGTCAAGCTCTTTGAGGATAGAATCTTCTGGGAATTTTTTGAGATAATTATCTACAAGTCTAACCCTAATATTTATCATTAGTCTAAACGTAATATTTATTGTTGAATGAAAGGAAGTGTCTGAATGAATTGTTGGGGAGCCCTGCTTTCTTTTGTTAATCTTTCTAAGGAAATTTTCTTATATCACCTCTTAGTTCTGTCTTAACTTACTCTGACATTTGAGATATCTATATAATTTGAACTCTTAAGAAGAATATTTTAATTAAACATTCCGAAGTTGTAGAGTCAAAATAGTATTTGTATTCACTGTCATCTCAGTAAATAAGGTAATACAGCAGCCTTAAATTAAAGCTTAATATTTCATAGTATTAATATCTAAAGCATGTAGTCTTTTACTACATATTAGAAAGGAAAACTATCTCAGAGTTAAAAAAGAAAGTGGGACCTGTAAATTCAGTAACTTCTTTTAATTGCTTGTTTTCCTAAGACCATCAAAGAGAGAATGACTAAGGATTTAGAAAAAAAAAATTATAATTACTTATATCTCATGATACTGTGAGAGTACCCCATAGGATACTTTTTTCTATACATTGAACATCCTTTAGTATCAAAGTACTTTTCATTTTATGAAACTGTACCCAGGGAGAGTAAGTTAAGTAGGGTGAGACTTGGAAAAATTGAGAACTGTTCAATGTGGGAGGAAGTAGGTTGTAACTGCTGAACCATCCTCTGCTTTGCCATATCTCTAGGAAGCAGTATGTCATCCCTAACTGCAGTGGAGCCGATTCATACATATTTACTAGTTGCAAATTATAAATGTGCAGCCTAGAGAGGAGCAGTGTTCTTTGTCTTTTTGCTTTTCTTCCCTCACTAATGATTCAAAACTCTTTATACATCCAGAATTTGGAGACTAGTTTTGTAGCTTGTCATATCCTTTGTACACCAATTAAGTCTTTGTAATTCAAATGGAATTTTCTTTTTCAATTTAGAAGCTTATGTGGAGGTACACTGAGGTTTTCTCCATCCTGTGTAGAGCCTTTGATGTAATGATTTATTAAGGTACTGGGAGAAATATTGATCCTGCTAATAGCTTCTGCTTTGTCATGTAATGTTTTATATTTTATTCAGCTAAAAACTATATTCCCTTTTTCCTCATCTGATTGACCATAAATGCTTTGGCCTTTCCTCAGTAATTATCTCACCAAAACAGTGGGTAAAAGTATTTATGGGCTAATTAGTGGAGTCAGCATGTCTAAATAGAACCCTTTATATAACACCAAGAAGTATTGTATAGTACTCTAAAATTAGTAAAATTTGGTAAAAGGCAAAAAAAAAAAATCTACAGGTGAAAACTCAAATGATTAAAGACACATATGAGATTTGATAAAAAAAAATTATAGTGAATGCCTAAATTAAAAAAAATATTATTACAATAAAAGGAACATTGCCATTAATCTCCCTCAAAATATTCCTCCTTGCTTTGTACACATTTATCCATCATTCTTGCCACTTTCTGAAACAAGTCCTCTGAGTGTCTTTATTTGTACTAATGCGGCTGCCTAAATGTCCTGAATCAGTTCAAAACATTTACCTTCTATGATCATTTTGACTTTGGGGCAGGGCCAGAAGTTGCAGCATACCAGATCCAGTGAATAAGGTAGGTGATATTTTTATCATAATGTTTTCATGATCCTGTCTTTCTGTTAGATGGCACTGAGCAACAACATTCACCACATTTTTTTTTAATCACACCTCATAAAGACTCATGAAGGAGGACTTCCAGAGCTGCTTCAGAAAGTGGCAAGGATGGGAAGAAGAATGTATTTGAAACTGATGAATATTTTGAGGGAAATTAATGGCAATGTATCACTTACTTTAATAAATTTGTTTTATTTAAATACCATTTTTTACCAGCCTTTGTATGCTCCCAATGATCACTGTCATTTATAGGGTATTAGGACATAACCAGTACCATGCTTTAATAATAGCACTTTTGCTCTGTGGCTTCTCTTCTAAATCCTTCTTTTTGTTTATGAAAACTTTGGAATATTGGTGGTTTATTTCAGATTTGCTTTTTAGAGTTTACTGTCTCAGGATACTAATAGTTGATGACAGTGCAAGGGTAATTTTGTTATACATGAAACTACTTTGTATTTTCACATTTTAAGCAGTATTAATTCTTGTCTGAGGTATAATTAATTTGATTTTGAAAGTAAGAAACTGCTTGTGTAACAAAATGTATATTGAACAGCAAGAAAACCTGGTCTGAGGCCTGGTTTTGTAGCCAGTCACTCTGTGTCCTTGCATCGGCCACACAAATCCTTTGGGCACCAATTTCCTCATTTTGAAACATGAGATACAAAAAAATTATAAAAATCAAAGGGGATAATGAATGTTCCATTACATTGTAAATTGTATGATGCTGTAGAGATGCAACTCTTTAAAAATCACCTGCAATTACATACTTGCCACTGAAGGATTTCTTTCAAAATAAATATAGGCAGAAATAGGATTGCAGCCCAGACTGTGATTAGGTTAGTGATGTTACTCCCTATTTTTTCCAGTATTACTCCTTTTGATTCCATGTATACCCAGATCCTTATGTAACCTGCCATTTGCATTCCATTTGCATTGTGGTAGATATGGAGACTCTCTCTGGAATCTCCAAAAGTGATTATATGATTTCTTTGGAAATAAAAAGGAATGTTTCATTATCTAAGACTCATGTGTAATTATCTGTATTTTTCCCAAGTACCATTAGTGTACCTGGAGAGATGCTTTGTGCTTTTTCACAGTAGGCCTAGTAGAAAGTAAAACCAACAACAAACCGGTTGTCCTAAGTATCTCTGCCATGGGTGAACATCATGCGTGCCTGGTTCACGCCATCCTTTTGTTTGTTCATTACCCTGTAGTTTCTTTAATCCTTCCACTTGTTATTATCTGCAGGAACTAACAATTTGTGGAAGCAAAGGCCAAAGCAAAGCTAAATGGTGCATATGACTCTAAAAAGGGAGAAGGCAGACATGTTTAAGTGAGCCTCTTTTAAAGAAACAGTAAGTACTGTGATATGAACTTTCTTTTCTGGCCTTGTCACCAAAGCAGCCAAGTATAAAGTCAAGTCTATCTAATGCAGAACTGTTTTTCCTTGTTTTTTGGTATGTTTTAGAAAATGAAAATAGTTATAGAATGATGGTAGGCCTTTGTTCACTATTAATTGTTGCCATGACTATTTCAGACTACACAATGTAGGTTTCCCCAAATCAGCACATAGATGTTATAACTATAGCTATACAATCCTAACTCAAATGTAGTAATATTTATTTTTAGTTTTGTTGCTGTCATGTTTGTATTGTTTAGGTGATGGCGATGTCTGTAGGATACCTCTGTCTGCACAGATTTCCCAGTTTGTTTCAGGACCCTTCCACCTCCATCTCTGTCTATATCCTTTATTTCCCACTACAGAATATCCCAATCTCCAAAATTGCTTTCTACTCATCTATTTTATTACAAACTCCCATTTTTTTCTTATGATTAGTTAAATTAGGACAAATTAATATTACTAATTTGTAATAAGGTATCTGTGACCAATGGCACTGATGTCTTAATTCTCTACTTAAAAGGAGAGTGATAGCCTCCAAATATGCCATTTACTTGACTAGGTAACAGTGTGTTCATTCATTAGGTCAACAGGGAACTGAGTATTGCATCTTACCTTGATATATTAAGAAGTAAAAGACTGAGGTTAGGGAGATCCTTAGGGATGGGTTGATCCTATACCTCAAATTATTACCTAGACAGTACTTTTTATGGCCAGCTTATTTTGGTTCTATTGGTCATGTCCAGGAGTGCTCATTATCTTACCTGTACCTACTCTATAGGCAGCAGTAATTTTCTAGAAAATGGGAGGAGGAAGAATAATAAAAATGATGAGAGGAAGGGATCTGGGGCATAGAGATGTAGAGAAAATCAAGGGAAGGGAAAGGCTAGCTAGAGTTGAGTAATTTAACCTTCAAGGTCTCTTCAGACCCTGAGATTCTGTATAAATGGGGGAGGGGGATGAGAATAGCAATGTGATTCAGGGGAAAAGGAAGGTTTTGGGAATATAATGAAAAGCTGCGTTTTTTTTTTTAGCTAAAAGTTTTCAGGTTAAAAAATATGTTATGATGAGTTGTTTACCTCCTGGAGCTGAGGTGAATCTTTTTCTGGGATCTCTATGAATTTAAAAAATCAGTTGGCATGTGGCCTCCCTGGAATCCCTTTCAGAACATCAGAGGAAATCTCCCACACTGAGGCTGAGACTGTCAGTAAATACTTGCGTATGTTCTTTTTTTACACATTTACTTCCCTATGTAAGAACCCTCCAAGAGGGTTGGTAAGACCTCAGAAATATCTCAGAGTGACAGGGTTAAAGACTTGTGCTCCTCCCTGTAGGAGTTGGAGATGATTGGGCCCCAGGGATGTGTGGAGACCAGGAAAGGCCAGCAGGATATTGAAATACAGAGTAGCCAAGAACACAACCCAGCTTCTTCTAAAACAAATGTTTTTCTAAACTGAGACATTAAATTGTATGTGAAAAGAATTTAAATATGCTGAGGTTATTGCATATTGCTAAGTCAGAACAACCTTATGTTGTATGAGTTGGTTCCCAGGCACTGTCATACCTGATAGCCTCCTGCCCTGCCTGAGCATAGCCATAGAAAGGGACACATGTTGGGAGTCCCCAGGAGGCTGGGCAGCTTCATGGACATTTGTGCCTTCAGGATATTGGGTGCAATTTAAACTGGTATTAAGATACAAAATATTATTTTACCATTCAGGTATTATCCAATGCAATTATCAACCATTGTATCTTATTAAGCCTATGGATATCAAATTTGACTAAATTTTAATGTATCTTTTTAGATAAAAAATGTTTTTGGTGTATAGAAGTGCTCTGTAGCTTCAAAAGGTCAGTAACTTCCTGAAGCAGAAATATGCCATGTAATTTTTAGAGGATAAATAATCCCCTAAACTTGATTTAATTGCTGGATTTTGAAACCTCATCATGGACAAATGTCAGCTCTGTTCTGTGTTAGGTGCATTATGCTTGGTGGAGAATTTGAGAAAGCATTTCTTGAAGAGATACCAGCTGCAATCTTTATTTCATTTTAAAAATCCAAGTTAAAAAAAATCCAAGTAAAATTAAATTTAGAATCCTTTTAATAGTTACCTGAAATTTCTTATTTTCAAAAAGCTTATTTTTTGCATGGTGAGAGTATTTGAAAGATGGTACTGGGCTACAGCACAATTATAGTAGGATTTCATTCTCTAAATACGGATTGTTTGTGATCTAACTTCCTAAACAGTTAAAAGGCATTCTTCATGACATGAAAGTTTTACTTTAATAGCACAAACTGGTAATTTAAATTACTGTTATAATACCTCAAAAGATTCACTGGGCCAAGATGACCAATTCTCATTTTTAGACAATATCAATTGCAACTCCTTTGCTATGTACAAGTATCCTGAAAATTGCTCTTAAGCTCTTTGTAAGGAAAAAAGGAATTGTACTACTTTTTGAGCCACATTATTGTGGGAAACTGGCTTAACCTTTCTGAGGCTCTGTTTTCTCATGTGTAAACCAGGCCATTAATAATTTAACCCTCTCAGAGTTCTCACAGTAGTTGACTGAGGCAGTGAACAGCTTTGAAGATACACAATAATAGCTAATCTTAAACAGGTGCTAAATGTACCTTATCTGCAAGCAGGTATGAAACTAGAAAGCTAGGTAGGCAAAACTACTCTCAGAATGCCTCCATATTTCCCATAATGAACAGCATGTGTGGTTCTCTGCCTACATATACCATCTTTCCAGCACTCCTGCGTGGACAGTTGTCTCTCCTGTGTGAAACCAGATGAGCACTGAAGATAGATACAAAGTGGAATGTGGATGACTCCTCTTGTGTGCAATGCACTCAGTACTGTGCCTCACACAGTTAATATTAGTTAACCTTTTCCTTGACCTTAGTACCCTTATCTTTCCTGAAACTCTAGGACCTTCATGTGGAAGTTTAAGTATAAGTTTAAAGGCCTTGATCACTAGAGTTCAAGTCAACATGAATGGTTTTGAAACTTGTGATGCCAGAGCTGGGTTAATGTAAGATGGTTCTCATTTTCATGGGAGATGGAGAAGACCTATGAGCTTTAGGCTCAGAGCATATATACATTTGTAAGATACAGCAGACTGTTCTCTAAAATGAACTTGTATAGTTAGTGTATTTTAAGTAATGATAAATTTCAGCAGTGTTAAAAATAACATCATCTGAAAAGTCATACATTGCTGTTCCATGGGCTATTTTTACATGAAATATCTTTAATCATGGTGGAACGCAAAACTTCTATTTTTGGGAAGTCAGAAGATGAACTGAAAATATAATGAAGTTAGAAATGAATCATTGTTGTTTTACTGTGTTTGGATTAAATTAGAGGGACTAGCACTTCCTAATGAATTATTTTCAGATATTTTAACACAATATTTTCCTATTTTTATGTGAATTTAAGCCTAATGAATAGGTAAAAATGTACTTCTCAGTTACTGAATTTTAAAACTTGCATTTATAAGGTGAAGACATTAAAGAAGGAAGCTTTGTTTGAGGTAGTTACATTGTTATTTCTGAATAAATTCAATGCGACTAATATTACATGGACCCACTGATAGACCTTCAGAAAGAATCATCTCTACCAACAATGACAGCCCAGTTCTGCAAATTCTCATTTTGTGTCAGAGATTGTCCTAGGTGTCAAGAATAAAATGCCTTTGGGGAATTTATTATATGAAAAGAAAACAAAGAGTTTCAAAACTTATTATAAATTTAGAGATAGAGGGAAAAACCAACGGTGGAGTGAGGATTAGAAGGGGAGAGAGTCCAGAGGAGCTCTTTGTTATTCTAATTAAGTATTTTAAGTGAATGGTTCAGTGGGATTTGAAGAGATGATTCCTGGACTTGGTTTTGATAGGCTTTTGATGGAAAGAAGAGGAAACAATGCATGGAGGGAAAGCAAGTGTCCATAGTAACATTTGTCAGTTTTAGATGGCAGCAGCCCTTTCCCAGTAACAGCACACCATTTTCCTTTGGGAGCCATGTTGCATGTTCCCTTCAGGAACAGAGCGGTGCAGCTGCACGAAAAGAATCCCAGGACTGGCCAGTCAGCCTTTCAGAGTCCCTGTCATTCTGTGGCCTCACAGATCACAGGAAGGACCGGTGAACGGAACCAGCTACTGATACTGTGTCCTAAGACACTTGTTGAACTCACAGAAGTTATTTTGTTTTGTTTTATTTTATTTTTTTAGCACTGAAATGGCTCCATGATACAATGGAAATCTGGAGCTTCTGGAGTCATTTTGTTTCCTATTAAAAATGAAACCAATACACAGGGTGGCAGAATTAACAGATGTAGAAATGTTTGCAATTTAAATACCTAGGTCTACCTGAACCCTTTATCCCTTGGATTTTTCAGTTATGTTTGCCCATAAATTCCCTTTTTAGTTCAGTCTCCTGAAATTGGGTTTCTGTCATTTGCAACTGTAATATCTCTAACAGAGGTTCTTTTTTAGAGACAGGGATTTAGGAACTGTTTTGCTTTTAAGAATTTTGTGATTTTTTCCGTAAACAAAACAAAACACGAAGAACAAAAACCATGTCAGTTTCCAAATAAGTGCATTTGTAAAAGAGCTCATTTATCTCTATCTCATATTTTCAAATAATCAGATATTTAATCTCGGTTTTAAAACCATTATCTTATTTCAGAACATAATTTAATATTAGTTATACTTAAAAGAAAAGAGACTTTTAGCCAAACACCGAAAGTCTTTTTTTCTTTTTCTAAAAGATTTATTTTGTTTTTATATACTGTTCAGCGACTGTCATGGGGAAAACCTAGCTTCTGGCCAAGGACTGCACAGAAGTGAGAGAGTCAAGCCTGTGAACTAATTTAGGGTGTGCACTCGGCTGCTCTGATGGTGAGGAGGGTCAGAGCTGTCTTCTAGAATATGTAATGTTGTCTTCATGGCAGA